CATTGGCGAATCCGTGCACGGCGAAGTATGCCACATTTACGTATTATTAATTTATTAAGATTCGAATCATGTTTTCATTTTTTATTTAACACTATACAGTCTTAGAAAAGTAGAATACTTATTAATAATTATGCATAACCTATATATTTGCAAAACTTTAAACTTTAAAGTACTGATGATCGATGATTTTCCGGTAATTAAAATGATTGAAATGTCAATACGAGTTCATAATAAACATATTTTATTAGTTTACTATACCAAGCGACAAGTACGAAAATAACAAACACTTAATGTACATAATATAATATGGACTTTTACGGTTCAATTTTTTTTTTTTAACATGATTTATAGTTTAGTGGTAATTGTATCGACATCATCGTCTGGGATTGTAGCGATTCCAGTTCATATCGGTCGAATGACGACGTCACAAATATCAATGTCCGTGGCGACGGAATAAACGATGTAGCGGACATGCAATATGTGTGTAAATATTCGTAATTATTCTTATAAATTTATTCAATAAGAATAATATTTATTTATATTATATTGAGCGTTTGATTACATGCGTGTATTTATGTTACTATAATTATTATTATATATTATTTTTTTTTTTTTTTTTGGTTGAAATTTTAAATTCGAACAGCAACATTCCACATCCCTAGTACACGACGAAATAATAGATTTGACATTAGATGAGGTCGGTGATGATGACTTGCTTACGATCAACTTGACAGATCTCGACTAGCAGATTAATGAAACCCGTTCAGAGGTGTTTATTGCAATTACATATAGCTAAAAATCCGGCTACACTACATTGTATTTTATTCTATAAATGTTATTTTTTTGTTGACATATTAAATACAACTAGACACGCACGACCGATTCAGTACCTATACCTACTCGTCGTCAGTAATTTCGTTTAGTTGACAATCACTGTAGGTACTCGTACAACTAAAAATGTAGGCAGCCATTGTTCGCATTTTTCGGTCACGATAACAATATCGAGACAATCGATTTAACATCAGAAGATAATTACACAAATTCATGTTATACAACGAGGAATAACCCGTTCAAACATTCAACGGTATATACGAGTACATCAACAAATTTTTCTTTTTATTTAATCGTCAATATTTTTATTAGATATTTCGATACTGGCAATAGCTGATACCTAGTGTACATGGAGTAAATAAGTAATAACTAGGTATCTATTTTTATTTGTATCTCAATTCGCCATACACAAGTAGGTACGTACCAAGTGATAATTAAATGACGAGAATTTTTAATTTTAAAACATTCATTATTTATTTATAATAATTTATGCACTCATACCCTCAGAGTACTCTCCCTCGAGTCTGACACTGATGGTTCAGCGTTCTTCGCGTTTCTGAAAACATCCCTGGAAATCTCAAGAAGTTAGACATTAGACTCTTCAACACCGACATTACTGCACGTTGAATGTCTTCTAAATCCTTATAACGATGTCTTTCCATTGGTTTCTTCAACTTTGAAAATAGCCGAAAGTTCAGTGGAGCAAGATCAGGGCTGAACGAGGAGTGGGAGAGCATTATAATATTCCTACTGGGCAAAAACTGTTTAACATTTAGCTTTAAGTGTGCGTAGGAGCATTGTCATGGTGAAGGAACAAACTTTGCACAGGACTTGCGCATTGATAAATCGTCGTATTACATCTAGCAAATGGTTTCTTTATTAATAGGTACCATCGATACTGAGTTCATTGACAACATTCGGATTGTGAGGCGTCTATCTGCCCGCACCAACACTCAAACGTTCCACGTTTTACCTAGTGTACACGAATTTAGGAGCACTTGACCTCGCATCGTCTTGCACTGATTTTCACCCTGATGCAAATCGTGCAGCCCGTTCGTACACACGTGATTTTGATATAATATAGTCATTACTCATTACCGAACACACGTTCTTAACTAATTTGCGGAAAATTATGGCCAGGTTTTCGTTAGATTTCACCAGAAACTTGATGACGAATTCGTTGCTCGTTTTTCATGTCACACGTTTTCGAATGTCGCGACACTACATTACCAACTTCAACAAATCGCAGAGTACAAAAACTAACACCGATCAGCAGACTATAGATACTTATGAACATAACGTCACCTAATTTTCAAGATGCCACTTCAGAAGATAGAAACAACAAATTCTCGTTATTTAGGTAATTGTCACGCCTCATACACGTGTAGACATTGTATGTAAAGATTAGCGAGGATAAGGACATTAAGGACGTGTAAGGACTTACTAAGGATGAAAGGACGATTTGTCAGCCATTTCCAACTAATCATGATGTTTGGTGAGCCATGACATATTGGTTAGCAAAAGAATTTAACTATTGAAACCACCATAAAAAAAAAAAAATAGTGACCATTGATAATATCCCACTTCTCAATTAAAATTTTTTGACAAGCTATTATTTAGTACCTACCTAGATACAAATATTGAATAAACATACAGATAAAGTCTAGACGAGTAATTCCTTGTCATATTCAATGGAATAATATAAACTTGTACCTTTTATCATTTTCTGATGTTAATTAATTGATTGTCTCAAAAAGGTCAACGTGTAAGAGGTTTGCAAACAATTCTCCAAGTTGTAGCCGTTAATTAACATTAATTCCTTTACGGTTCACTTAACATAATTTATTATATAAAATTAAAATAATTATTTTTTTTATCGACGTAATAAAATATTATCCCGTTTATGTATATACTATACAGTATACAATTTATAAAATATATTTGTCTAAATTATATAATAAAAATAACTAGTGCTATTATTTTTTGGTCTATAGATACATGAAATATGTAATTTAGTATAAGTTGAAGTGACTTGCTAAAAATAAATCAAATAAATTATATACTTATATAGATACCTAGTAATTATTACAAAATTTGGTTAGTGTAATACAAATTATCAGAAGAGCCATCCCTAACCATGTAAAAATGGTAGGCATTAGGCAGCAAGTCTTGAGCTGATAATTAGATCTATAAATTTAAAAAGGAAGAAAGTAGGTAGATATCACTTTACTGTAGATTTGTAAGTGTCGACTCTTGAGTGTACCTCATCAGTAAGGAGTACCTACCTAAATCACTGTAATGTATTATAAATGTATTAAATTTGAATTCAACTGTAAATCATTGAATAAACGAAAATCGATTCTGATTGAAGACAATCTGTCAGTGTATATTACTTAGTAGGTATATTTTAATATTTTATTATGTACTTATATAGCTAGTAATTTATTTTACTATTAGATAATAATAAGTTAAACTATTTTTTGCCAAAAACATTGCATTATTTTTAAGTGTATAAAATATAATTATACAATTAAAGTTTCAAGTACCTACGAGCAATATTTTTAAATTATAAAAAAATAACAAAAATCGTTATTTTTTGATTAAATATTTAGTTTTTTTTCATTTTTGAACATAAAAATGACTATATAAAAAGGAAATAATTTATTGCCGGCAGAAAAGAGCGTTAGCACGATAAAGATTTTAACGCTCCGGTAGATAGTCTAAAAAAGCGACGGAAAATATGAAAGTTTAAACCAAAATAACCAAAACAGCAAAGTATTTACAAAGGAACATAAATAAACACAAGTGTAAACGACGAAATAAGATATTCTTTGACGTGCGTAGCGTTTTTCTAGCGAATGAAATCATCCTTAAAAATTAAATCAAATCCTTAAATCAACTTAAAAAAACTGTGTACATATAAATACATATTATGAAGATTTTTTGGTTACACAGTAAGCTACCTAAATGTGAGAAACCTTGTATTAGTTGTATTAAATTTTTATACTTTGCTTTAAATAAAAACTATAAATTATGGAGATGGCAGATTCGGATTGAGCCTTCGGATCATTTGAGATCCTCAGACTTCATAATCATATTTAAAAATTAAGTAAAAATGCTAATCAAATTCGTAGTCATGGAAGGAGTTCAATGGTTATTTTTTTTTATCAAAAACTTTTATAAACGAACTAATTTTGGTAATAGGTCAAATAATACAAAATTAAGTAATAAATTTATGAAACAAGTATTCAATATTGTGGTAAAATTGATAAATTCTATATATGATGTTTCTGTTTTAAACCAACTTGCAATCGGTGTTAGATGTTTTAAATAAAAAATCTATTATCAACTTTTCAATTTGATAATAGTTTATGACTCTAGAAAAAGACTTAGTTTATCCTCTTAAAATAAATAGCAAACTGGTAATATTTAAGTGTAAACTACCATAAAAATAATTAGATTAAAAATTATTGGTCCATATGCCTAACCATATACATGTGTTATTTTATTTCAATGATAGAAAGTACCAACCGGTGACTGTAGTCAGTAAAATAAATAATATATATAATACTAAAATACCAGTTATCATAATTGGTAAATATTCACCAAAACGACAATAACTTACTTATTCTGGAATGATATAAAAACAATATAATATGATGTACCTATATCAATGAACAACATTTTAAGATACTTGACAATGATTATCACCGATACATTAAGAAAGTTTTAGTTTAATTAATAGGTAGAAGTGTTTTTGGTAAATGACATTTTAAGTTAGGTACCGTATTATACAATTATTTACTGTTCTAACTTATAACCCAATCGTATTGATTATAAATTACAATTTTAAAATATAAACGTCAAACATGTAAACTTTTTATCCAAATTAAATTTTTTTTATTTATTTTAATTTTTAATCATAACATAACAGATAGATGATAGTTAAAGTATTAATTTAATATTTTCTGTGATCGAAGTATTTAAAGGACAACAAATGAAAACAGCATATTATATATTTTTCATGATAAAAAAATATAATAAATTATAAGAAAAAAGGTAATGTGTAATTTAACAAAAAAAGTAACATTTAAGGTACACATGTATATTAATTATATAATTAATAATTAAAAATATAATAGCTAATAAAAATGTATATGGTAAAAACATGTATACTTAAAATTATTCATATTATATTCAAATTCTGTAACAGAATATAAGTAGGGAACATAAAGCAGTGTAAAGCAATTTTACATAAAATTAAAAGATTATTTTAATAATTATACATGTATACCAATTTTAAAATACAATGTTTCAATTTTTGTAATATGTGTATAATGTATATATCACAACAAATCTAATACACCTGTTTGGCTGTCAATTCTGAATTGTACATAGTTATCATAAGGTTAATGTATCCTCGTGCATACATGAATTAATAAGACACAAGACTATCAAGTGCTTTATCAGGATCATTATTGCATTTCACTAGTGCACTGCATATATTTTCTTCTCGAAATCCAAAATCAATAAGCCTATCAACATTTTTAAGAAAAGTAATTGCATGATCAGGATTAAAATTATTAACCACTAATGCTTGTTCTACACGATCTGCAGCATAGCCACTAGTCTCTTCAATGGAATGTACTTGAATTAAAAACTCTATCACCTTAAAATAATAATAGATAGTTAAAATTTTGTTATATGATTAAATAACTTAGTCGCGTACCTTAGATTCATCTTTACCAAATAGTTTACATGCCCTTGCAGCACGTGATAAAGGAAAGCCCATTTGATGTATTTGATCTGCTAAACATTGACTAGTTGGAGAAAGTGATCTGTATGGATTAGGAAATGAGCATGTAGGTGATTTAGATCCATTTGTTGTAATGTGAGGTAAAGATTTTTGTGGATCATTCTAAAAAAAAAGGGTACAATAACTATTTTGCAATAATAATTATTTATGATTAAAAACACTTACTGGTGATTCATCATTATACTTTAAAGTATTTAAATCAGCCTCCAATTGTAATAAAATATTTGGCATAGTAACAGGTGGCAAAGTTACTACATTATTTTTATCAGTAACATTTAAATTGGATTTAGGAATAGAACGAACAGTCTGATTGGTTTTTGTATTAGGACTAAATAAAAATTCATTGCTATTAAAATTTTCTGAATAATTATTGTAAATAGGTTTTGAATAATATTGAGAAACATTAATATCAGATGGTTGAAAATTTTTAACATTAGTATTATCGTAGAGTGATGTTGGCTTTAAGACAGAAGCTAATTCTTCTAAATCATTAATAGTTTTTAATTCCATATTGTCAAATGGACTGGATGTATCGGACTCAAAATCTGATATATTTATATTTTTAGTGAGCATGGTATCATATGAAGACATGTTTAAGTTCATTTGTTGAGCAGGTATTGGTTGTAAAACTTGAGTATTTTGTGGTTGTGCTGGATTTAGTAGTGTTAACTTATCTAAATCTAAATAATCTTGTGTTTTAAACTCAGCAGCCTGTATATGACGTCTAGTTTTAGCTTCTTCTCGTATTTTACTCCATGTTGCCATTTTTTCAAGTACATTTTTTTCCAAATTAAAATCATACTAAAACAAAAATTATTACAATCCAGAAAATCAATTTTACTGGGACCTAAATAGAATATTGTAATAAATTACCTGGATTTTTAATGCATTAGATGTAGGTTTATGTTGTAACACACCAGGTAATGTTATCTTTTTAGGAGGTTTATATTTTTCAATTATTTTAACAGGAATCTCGTCCATGTATGAAAACCCTGTAGATAATAATAATTAATAATAATATATATGGCAATATGTTTCTTGCATCTTTAGAAAATGTGATATATTTAGGATGCAAATAATATTTATTTATAAATATATGATAAAAAATATACCATTTTTATCACTTTCTTGTCCACTGCTTCCACCATATGACATATTAAGCACAAACGCTTACACAATATTTAAGTCTTGTGAATTCATAGAATTAATTAATATATTCTATGAGTTTATGTGGCCAATTTTATATTTCGTTACCTATAATTAAAAATATTAAAATTAGAATTTATAGGCTATAATTTTATAAACATAAAAAAATAAGCTTAATAGATAGAAAAAATTGTAATAACTAAGTAATAGGTATGTAATGAAATTTTTAAAGTAAACAAATTAAAAATACTAAAGGATTTGGTAGCTGATTTATTGGTAAAAATAATTAGAACATAATTTGTAAATGCTAATACATCCAACATTTATACTCTATTCAAGTTGAGAATCGTAATCAGAATTGCTTAGTTTATGTCGGGGAGTAATCTAACCATGCATCTATGCTTAATTATGAAATTTACCATCTATACGCCTCTTGTATAATAATGGTACACTTCTCCTTACAATTCGGCTGCCAATAACAATTTATAACTAGAATAGAATATATAAGTATATTTATGGAAAATAAATTATAGCTATTCTTTAATCATCTACCATTAAATGTAATAAAATATGCTAGGATAAATTTTACTAAGCAGAAATTGTAAATATGCATTTAAAATTTGATGTTTAATAAAGAATTAGCTATGAACATAGGACGGAAAAATTAAGAGAAATAAGGCCATTAAATTCCTAGGCTTTTAAAATTTTAAGCTGAATATGAGCAAGTACCAATTAGACAGATATTTAAATCAAAGAATGATATTCATTATTACTTATATTTGTTTTAAAAAAAAAATAATTTTATTATAAGTGGTCTGTTGTATGATTTTTAAAAACAAATTTTTTACCGCCATCTATTGTGGCTGTGAAATATATTTAAAAATAGTAAAAGCAAAATACAAATAATATGGTGTTAAGTATACCTAATTAAACATTTCAGTAATTATTTATGTATTTACTTAATTTTCTATAAACATTTTTACAATCATAAGTATCTGCAACATATTTTAATAATCATTACATAATATTATTTGCCTATTTACATATTTAAAAATATGTATCTATAACATCGATTGATTATTATTATTTTAATATTTTATCTTTAAAAATTTTAAAAGAGAGTATATTTTTGACATATGTTCTATTTGGTTTTATACTTACATGTGCATAATAGAAAAAACACTTAAGCACACATAAATAAATTAACCTGCATAATCATATAATAAATTACTTTATTTTGCATGTAATTTTTTTAATAATTTTAAAAATAAAGATTAATATTCCATATATTTTTATTTTTGTTTATTTAAGATCAGATATAGTCTAAGTTAATAACTTTTGTTTTTCTAATTTAATTTACATAAAAAATGACCACTTCCTAACAAAATAAAATTGATGTGTATGAATTTATAAAAGTTTTAATATACTGAGATAACTCATAAGTATAAAAGCAAATTTAACTAATGGTATCAACTAGTCCCTTTCCCTAACATATTACAACATTTGTTAAAAGTGGTTAGCAAATCTGTATTAACAAAGAAATAACATAGCTGATAATTAGATACATTAAAATATAATAAACAAAATTATATAAATACATCTTATGTAGCTGAATATTCTATACAAAACTTTTTAATATTATACAAATTAAATGGTAAGAACTTTGAATTATTATTTAACAGGTAATAGCAAAACAATGAGTCCTTGAGACTTATTATCATAGTTTAAACACAACCAAATTATAGACAATAATGGTTAAAAACATATATTTCTGAATGTATAAAAGCCATTTTAAATACTTACTATTTTTTTGGAATTTTATTATTTTCTATTTTAATAATGTTTACAACTTTAAATTAAGAAAACTTTTTAATGTGACAAAATATGATTTGATAGAAAAATATTCCATAAATAAATAAAAATCAATCAAAATGTAACCAATTGTTTTAGACACTTTAGTGCAGATTTAATTTTATAACTGCACTAAGTACATTAACACATTATGAAAAATGTTTAGATTAAAAAAAAACTAGTAGACTATAAATGGTAAAAAATTATGTAAATAGCACATACAAAATATTAATACTAAAATATCATGTATTATTATTATGCAATATAGAATGTAATATTTTGATAACAAATTAAGTTATCACGGAACCAGGGAGTAACTTTACATACCACGGTAAACATAAAAAACAGGTAATAAAAAACTTGCTGGTAAACGAGCCACCGTGGTTAGAGCACTATAGATGATATAGTGCCTTACCGTAGTATATTTAGTATGGCTTACAACTTATTATAACATATTTTGTATTTTGTAAATCGTAAATTTTTTTTTCAAAAATTATAGTTTATAAAATATTACATTTTAATTTATTATTAAATAAAGTAAATAGGTAAGGATTTTTTTTAAATCCCGAAATATGGAAGGTTAAGAGACGGTTAGGTTACCAAGTACCTACTCAGATATTGTCTTTTCTTTTTTTTGGAATAAAATATGAATCTTACACCTATAACCTAAAGTCTATGGAATCTAGTATCTACTATACATATTATCAGTTATAACGACCGTAGTTGTAAAATCTATTTAATGACCAGTATGATAACAAAAACGTTGATAGGATGCAAAATGTTATTTTTAACTGCTATAGTGGTATCCGCCTATAGTATGCAGTATCCACTATCCACTCCTTTACTGTCGTATATCAGCCGGGCGTAGACTGTACCCTCTTACTACTCCGTACCCGTAGTTCGTCACTGTAGCATACCTCCTACTTATTACATTGTACATACCATAAAATTAATTATTTGAATATTTTATATGATAATCATAGACACTCGATTTCAATTACTTACTTAATTGTCATTTAGACCTCAGTCAATGTAATTGTCATCAGTCTGACGGTTAACTTTCTATACCGTATGTCAACTACCTAGATTTAAATTACAATGGGAGTGACAAATTTACAGATAATTTTTGACAATCCTACAGCTGTATTTATGCCTGGCCAATCTATAACTGGACGAGTATTAGTAACTACCAGTAGTTCTGTAAAAATAAGAAGTAAGTGATTTATTGGAAGAGTAGATATCTGGTATATTTTGCATGTTAAAAGTGGCCATGACTGGATGTTATTATAGGTATTAAATTGAAATTTCGAGGAGAAGCCGTAGTTTCATGGACAGAACAAGAATCTCGTAGAAGCGATAATGGTGAAACTGAAAACTACTCTGTCAAATATGATGCTGAAGAAGAATATTTTGAAAATAAAATGACTTTGGTTGGAGGTGGAGGTAAGTAAAAATAATTTGCTTATAACACTTATTTAGTATTTAAATGTTGATAATGCAATTTAGTAAAAGTTAAGTCAGAAATCTTGATTAGTATTTTTATATTTTTTGTTTATACTTATTTTTAAGGAGAATCAAAATTAGAAGAAGGTGAACAGGTTTATCCATTTAATATTTCTTTACCTCATCAGTTACCATCAACATTTAATGGTGAGCATGGACATGTTCGTTACACAGCAAAAGTTAAAATTGATATTCCATGGGGCAAGGATAAAGAAACAGAAAAAATATTTCAAATTATTTCTCCATTAAATTTAAATGATGAACCATCATTAGCTGTAAGTATAATATTTATTTAATATAGACAATATTTTCTCCTGAACTTACATGTACCATTGTTCCCTTTATAAAATGTATACTCTATTCAGAATGAGTTTTTATTACTCTAGTGGCGAACTTGTGAGCAGATTCATGGTTTCATTACAAAGCAAGAAAATATATGGTAGACTTAATATGGGTGACAGATAAATATTATTCTACCAACACTAATAAAAACTGGTCTCTGCACATGCACATTCTCATTTTGAATTGAATATAGTATATATTTATTTTTTTACTGAGTTTCACCTAGAAAACTCCAACTGTTTTTTAAGATCTATGTCAATGCTTTTTATTTATTCAGTTTAGAATAAGAAACTAAAAATGAAATTTTTTCTTTTCATTACTTAAATTAATTATTTATTAATATTATCCATTTTAAGAGCAGTTTATTTTCATAAATTCATTAGTATGTAGATTAAATACAATAGATAGGTATAATTATGGTATTAAGTCCAATTTCTATACTTTTTTTAAGCTAAAAAATATAGTTGACTGCCAATTAATGTGCCGAAGCATGGCTAAACTACATATCTGATATATAAATGGTTTACTAAATAATTATTGCCTAACCCCTATTTGTAGATAACTGATCACCACCGATTACGTTGCTTATATAGATGATATATAATTACTAAGATTTATTACTTGGTTTTTTTTTAGGAACCCATAAAAGAAGAAAAAGAAAAGTTTTATTGTTGTTGTTGCTGTGAGTCTGGTCCGACAACATTGGTAGTCTGTATTCCTTATAAGGGTTTTGTACCTGGGCAAATTATACCTCTTACTATTGAACTGGATAACAATAGTAATGTAACAATTGATGCTGTTAAAATTAAATTGAAACGAGTAATGCTATAAAAATGTATTATGTTTATGATTTTACTAAAGTATATTTAACTATTTTAGGATTTAACATTTAAAGCAAAACATCCAAGTGAAAAAACAAACTTTAGTTCATCTGAGCTTGCAGTTTTACGTTTACAAGGTATTGAAGCTCATGCTTCAAAAACATGGACAGAGCAAATGATGATTCCTAATAGTTTGATGTTTTCTAATTTAAAGTATTGTGGAATTATAACAGACCAATATGTTTTAAATGTAAATATAAATAATAGTAAATTTGATCTGTTATTTACAATTATGTAACAGGAGTTGTTAAATTATTTATTTGTTTTCAGGTAGAAGCTGTTGCTGGGGGTATGTATGAAAACACTGTTGCTAATGTGAAAATTTCAATGGGTAATATTCCACTAACTATTGCTCAAGATGCTCCTCAATTTAATAATCCAATTCTACCACTTGACCAAAATAATCCGTCAAATAATCAATTTATTACAAATCCTACCTATCCTATGGATTTACCTGCACCTGTTCCTGGGTTTGCACAGCAAGTTCCACCATATAGTCAACCCCCTTTTGTTCCTTATCCACAGCAAACCATGAATACAGCACAAATCTCTGGTCAGCCATCGTTGTATCCTCCAACACAAGTGTATAACCAACCTCAGTTACCTTATCCAGATGTGAATTTACAACAACCGGCATTTAATCCATCTTATCAAAATTTGAATACTCCAGAAGTAACTCCTTCTGCCCCTTCTCTTTAATCTTGCATCCTAGATAATCTGGATTAAGTTTACATTTTGATTATTGAAGGTTTGTTAATAATTTATCAGGTATTTAAATAAGTTTTCTAGAGATTGAAAAGTATTTAGTAAATCTGGTTAGAATTTTTTTTTTTTTAGCTATTCTTTATATTATAAAATATAAAAAATATTGTATAAATTATATAGAAAATATTACAAAAAATCATTTAGTTAATAAATATATAATTTTGTACATTTATCTAATTATATTTTTATTAATATATAAATTTTCAATACCATTACTGCTTAACATTTTATTTAAACTGTGTACCAAATATATACTTTATTCAACATAAGAGTATAATCCAGACAGGGATGAGTTTTTGTTGGTGACATACAACCTTCTTTACTTAATCACCAGTAACTAAACACAAAATGATTCCAATTACACGCACACGAGTTAGTTCTTATGTTGAATCAAATATAAATATGATCAGTATTTAATAATTTTTAAATTACTATTATCAAAATACTTTAAACATTGTTCTTACTTTAAAACGCTTAATGGCCAGTAATACAATTAAGAATATTGGATTAAAAGAAATTTGAGGGTTTAATTTGTATTAAAATTGATTATGTTTAATGTTAAATTAATATATTAAAGCAGATGTTTGAAAATATTTTGTAATACATTTACATACTATGCCTTTAATGTGCCTTTATAGCTTATATTATAACTTAATGTGCTTAATAAATTATAGCTTTAATGAATTGTATACCTATTATTTTTAATTTAAAAACTAAATAAATTATGAAAACTTGTTAACAGATTGAATAGCTTTGTAATGAATAATTAATAACTTATTTTTCTATATTATACTTCTAAATACATATATTAATTATTTTTAAGATAATAAATAATACAAATTAAGGTGTTACTTTTTGTGATTATATTTATTACTAACAAATTAAATTGTTATTTTTTGTGATTATGTTTATGACTAACAAATTACATTGTTAAGTTAAACTATTGTAAAACGCTTAAATATTTAATAATTTTATTTATATTTTGTGAAATGTTATTATTGTTTAATTATATAGTATTTATCAATTGTTTTATATTAATAAAGAGTGTCAAGGAATTTTAAACATTGAAAATCATTTGTTCAACAATTAACAGTAAAAATAACAAATGTTTTGGTCAACCTTTACAAGTAGCACAAAATTATTAAGGTTTTTTTACAAATAATATATAATATATATATATTACAATGTTTTATTATTTTTTATATTTTCTCTATCTGATTTACATTTTTTAATTATTTTATCAAATATACTTTGATAGTAAACAGTTATTAATCTTAAAATTCCAGCGCCAAAAACCTGTAATACATAACAATTTATTAATAAATTCTGAGGCTAATAGCATAAATTAATCATTGGAATTTAAATTTTACCTGACATATTAATTCTAAATAAGAAGTGTTTGGAGCCATTCCAGCACAGGCAAAAGTCATCATGTGACCTTCAAGCCCTACAGTGCTAAAGAAATGTCCATCCTATATAATACATTTAGAAAATTTAAATTTAAATATTATTTATCATAAAGTACTAGAATAAAATTATTTAAAAATTACTAAAGCGTCTTGAAGAATTTTATTTCCTACTTCTTCTGGTGTAAACAATTTGGCTGTCTCTGAAATCAATAATGTTTCCAGTGGTTTGTTTTTTGACTCGTTAGTATATCCCGGAGTATCTGTATCAGGAGGCAAGGCTAATGTCACTTTTACTCCAAAGTTCTTTGTCTAAATGTATATATAAATAAAAATTTTAAAATATATAATAAAGTAATATTATATCAAGTATCTTAGGCGTTAAATATTTATTTACTTCCATGCTCAAAGCTTCAGCAAACCCTCTTAATGCAAATTTTGTGGCACAGTATACACTTAAACCGTAAATACCACAGAAAGATGCTAGTGATGAAGTTATAACAATACTTCCATAACCATTTTGTTTCATTTTATTCACTATTGCTTTAGTAGCTTGAATCGTAGATATCAAATTAGTATTGATCATTTGCTATAACAATTGGTAACTAATTATACTTTGATAATGTTTTATATTAAAAATTAAAAATACCATTATGTCATTAGTGGAACTTTCTTCTAATGTTCCACAAATAGCCATACCAGCACAGTTTATGAACATATATAAAGGTCCCATATCTTCAATAGCATTATTAAATGTTTTTTCCACTATACTGTAATCACCGGCTAAATCAACTAAACATTAATCAAACCATTAAAATCCTTATTTAGTTAATTAATATTAGATATTTCATAATCTAATAAAATATAAATATCCTATTTGAACAGTAGTTTTATAAGTTATATTATTTTAGTATTTAACAGACAATGTACCAGACAAATAGTTGAATCTTTGATTATTTCCTGAACATTGTTCTTTAATCTCATCCAAAGCTGAACAAAGTCTATTTTTATTTCTTGCAACAATAGTCACATTTGCTCCTATCTTAGCAGCTTCCAATGCAATGCATTTACCAATACCACTTGAACCGCCCGTAACCTGAAAAAATAAAAAATATAATGCACCAGAAGAAAATACGTTGTAACAATTTTGTGTTACTATAACATGACGGCCAAGCAGACATTTTTTCTTGGCTATGAATTTATGTTTAAAAATTGTAGCTAAAACAAACGACAAAACAATAATTCCAAAACTTATAAATGCAATCATTATGTGTTCCATATAAAAAAAAAATGTGAACAATGTACAATCACAAACATATAAACGTTAATATTATAATCAATTGAAAATAGAAGTTATGAGTTATTAATGAGGATGACTAAGGAATTATGAATTATGACAATCAAAATTCTTTGATGGAAATTTTAAATTCAGAAATAATTGGAATAAATCATTTTTTGAATTTCCGTCCTAACGTATCAGTATGACCAGTGGGTCAGTGTAGGCAATAGCCCGAGAACTTAAGTCACAACTTATAACCTACAGTTCGAAGAAACCCATGACCACACGTTTTGTGGCTGCACTATTGTCCTTCGTTGTAGGAATCACTATAATAATAATTGCTATAATTTGTACAATATTATAGTATGACTACAATATAAACATCGATATTTTTTTCCAACATTGGGTAAGTAATTCGATTAAATTTAAATTATTAAAATTTAAAACTTTAAAAATCATTTGTACTTGTTTCTTTAAATATTATTTAATTTATCAACTTGAAAATTATTTTTTATAATCGCCATATAAAAATATTTAAGTTTAATTATTTTATCTGTTATCTATATAATATGGTAATTAATGTTTAATCACAGAATAGATTTATCTTTTATATAGTTTAATATATATATATATGTTATGTTTAGGAAACAATCGATTTCATGATGACGCGAGACTGCAAGAGCTTAAAAAAAGTAATTTCCTTATCAGTACAAACTAAAAATTACGAACTCGAGTGTTGAGGATAATTTTATATTTTATATATTTTAACTTTTAACTAGACTATTATTATTGCATTTTAAAAGTAGTTCGTTTTTTTAATATTTCAATTATAGTGTGGATGATAAATTGTTCAGTGACCAAAGTATAGGCATTTTTATCGTACTCTAGCGAGAGTTACACGTTAGTTTGCCAGAAACGGGCAACTGATATTTATTGTAGGATCGTATACCTACCTAATTTATAATGGATAGTGCATCAAGACCTATTGACAGTATTGCGGATAACCGCTATTTTTGCCACAGCTGTGATGCCGAAATAGGGAGTGTAGCTGATGTATGTTTTAAGTTCTTCCATTACAAATGTTTACTACAAAGTTATTGATTAATGCTTGGTAATACTATATTATTTTCTTTAAGGATTTTACATGCCCAACATGTCATTTGGGTTTTATTGAAAAAGTTGAAGAACAACAAACTCCTGAGGAACCAGATGATGAGGATATGGTATTTGCCAATGCACACTTTATGGTATGTAATAATAGATTTTAATAATACTATTTTTAAAGTCAATTAAGTGACAATTTCTTAGAGATTAAAATAGTTTTAAACCTAGGCATGTGCCAGTATTATATTTTTTTTATTATCTAATTTTTTGTTTTACAATTTTTGTTATGAAATTCTTATTACGGCGGGGGATAACTTGAAATTCTAATTATGTAGATACTGTTATCAATTTTTACTATTATGACTTATGTATGAACATTCAATTCTATTTTCAGTTTTATACATATAGTTTGTTTTTAAATAAAATATACCAATTCTATGCATCATCTTGATTATAAACAACATAGTATGTACTATATCTCGATAATCCTGTTCATGACTAATGACTACAATTGTTCATTAGCATATTTTTCTCCATCTTGCTTCAAAAGCTAATTCTATACTTACATGACAATTTAGTAGATTTATTGGTTAGTTATTTATAAGGAATATGTACCGCTAAACAGAAACTTGTTATTTAATTATTTTAATTTATTCTATTTTGAAATGATACATAAATAAGATAAAAATTATGTAAACACTTTGATAAGTACATTAAATTATACAATTTTAAATGTGAAACATAATTGTTGCATATAATTCATTTTAGATGTTGTATTTTTTACAATTTATTTGTTTTGGACATTTTAAATAGATTATTTATGTAATTTCAAAAGTTCAGTGGCAGTATTTAATATTAAGTTATTGTGTAAGGAATGGTTAGAAATTTTCCATGGATCATGTATTAGTAGCCTCAGTGTAATTTATTACAAAGCTTTGATTCGTTAGATATTGGAAGTTTGGCAGCACCTCGAATTGCATTTCAATTATCTAGACCCACCTTTTATATAATTAAATTGATTTTTGAAGAGATATTTTGGAGTTAAGAAGAAGATGGAGATAAAGTCTTTTGTTCATGTAAATTATTTTTCTTTTTTTTTTTAAATATTAACCCCAGGTTAATCTTTTGTCAACATTTATGCCCATGTATTTAATTTTAGTTTAGATGAATATGTTATTTAAAATTAATTAAAAATACTCTTAAAGAAATTGTTTTAATGCCAAAGTAATTTGTACCAATTTGTCAGTATTTCTTTTAATTCTCCCTAGTTTAGCGCATGTATCAACCTTATTTGCTTGGTCCTGAAGTATTTTAATAATTTGATTAACATTTGAACTAGTAATGATAATAGTAATGTTGTCAGCATATTTTGCAAGAAGGGTGTTTATAAACTGGAGGATATTGGCTGTAAAAATATTATATAGATCAGAAAATACTAGAACAAAAAATTGTATTTTTTTTTTTTAATTATTTCAACATTGTAGGTATTTCTTGATAACAATTTTGAATATTATTTTTTATTGTTCAGATTATGTTAATTTTTATATTGAAAATATAAAACGGTAATAATTTTTATATTTATTTTTAAAATTATATGAGTAATATAAATATTATCATCTTACATCCATCATTTTAAATTATTAAATAGTTATAAAACACCATCACTCATAAAATAAACGAGAGTTTACATTTTAATGATTTATATTAATCTATGATTATGGATTTTCAATTTTATTTTATAACATGTTTAGGTTAATGGTCTATTGGGGGATGGCGAAGGTGGAGGAAGACGAAGATCAAATATTCGTCGTCGTAGATTTACAACAAGAGGTCCTCATGTAATGACATTGCAACCTGGAAGGTAAACATAAAAATATTAATGTTTTAAAAACATATTTTTATCAATTACTAAAATACATCTTTTAGAATTCAATGTATTAATTATTTATAAATATTTTAAAACTTATTTTATTTTATTGTGATAATATTATAAGCCCTAGTTCTTAACTTTTTTCCATGAATATTGAATATTATGGATAACCAGCGGCAAACTGGCCTTGGCAGGACACCAGAACAAAACCCAATGGCCCATTACAATAACAGATTAAATGGCCTGATAATATTTTAGAAAATAAAAATATAATATATGTATAATGTATAAATAAATATATAGATTATCTGTTGGTGTAATTTTAAATATCATAATAATTGATAATTTAATATTATTTAACAGTATTATGAAGTGTATTCTCAAAAAACTATTTTTAATTTATACAATATACAAAATATACATTATGGGCAAATAGTCTGTATAAGGATTTATTTATAAATTATAATTATTATTTTTTATACTAGTAATAACTAATAACAACACCATCGCACTTAAAGCATTGATGCTTGTTCATACTTATCTCAGATAGGAAAAACAAAGTTACTGAAACTTAGTCCCATGTTTTATTTTATTTGTTTGCACTAAATGAGACTACTATATTATAAGTAAAATCAGAAAAACTAGTGATGCTATGTATATAAAAAAAAAAAGGTAAAACTAAGATAATTTTGATGTTAGTAATATATTAAAATGTGTACATTTTTATGTTATATGTGTAATGTGTATATTTATATCTATATTAATTATTGAAAATAATTTTTGAATAATAAAGGTTTTTTAATCATTATTATATTTTTAACATACTTATAGCCAAATTATTTGTCCCCCATTAATTTTTGGCCTGGCAAATAGAAATTCCCAGCCTAAAATATTGACCCAGTCTTCTCCTGTGGATAACTATTATACTTAAATCAATTTGTATGCAACCAGCAGTAGAATTTATCATTTTATTTGTTATCATTCAGTTTCCTAAATTTTCATTTATATTTATGACTTAAAAATAAATTTACTTAATATTTAATGATAAAAAACATTAAGATAATAAGACTAATATAAGTATATAACTTAGTGAATATACCAATAAAGTTTTGTTATTTTTTAATTTAAGTGTACCTATATCTTAGGACTCAGATTATATATAATGAATGGAGTTAAGGTATATACAGCCTATATATTGCATTGTCCTCAATATATACAATTTTAACTTAAATGTCTTCCTGTAGATGCATAAACTATTATTATCATTTACCTACTAATTTAATTGTATACACTCTAAACCTGAGTAGAAATAGCTACATGTTTTCACCCACAATTCAGCAGTTTGGTATTACCCTTATATGAACTAATCTATGTATTTTATGAAATACATTGAGTTAAATTAAATTGTAAAATTATATCAAGTTGTTTTTTTAAATTCTTTTTTATTAAAATGTAATGTTAGCACTATGAAGTATTCTTAAACTAAGGTATTTAATAAAAAAAAAATTACAAACATAACAAAAATAAATAATATAGCCATTTAAATCATAGTTTAAAGTCCATCAATTTATTATCTAAAAAAAAAAAATGTATCATTTCAGAGGTCCAAGGCGTAGTTCAGGTGGGACAATTGAAAATTTAGTAGAAGATGTCATAGTCAATTTTGCTGATTATGCTCGAGCTGGCGGAAGTCCAGTGTAAGAAAATTATATTATACATTATTTGTATCAAAACTATACCTCTTGTAAATTAAAATTTCAGCAGTAGATTTTTACTTGGTAATCCTGGTGATTATGTTTGGGGAAGAGATGGATTAGATTCAATTGTATCGCAGTTATTAAATCAGATTGATGGAGCTGGACCTCCTCCATTAACAAAAGAGAAAATACAAGAAATTCCTACAGCACTTATATCTCAAGAACATTTAGGTAAAAATAATTATGTACTTATAAATTAAATTTATTTATAATTATTTTTTAAGTTTAATTTGACTTAATTACTTTATATAGAACTAAGAAATGATTTGAATTTTTAGATATAAAACTCCAATGCTCTGTTTGTTGGGAAGATTTTACAATTGACGAAAAAGTAATGAAACTAGCTTGTGACCATATGTTTCATAAAGATTGTATTATACCTTGGTTAGAATTGGTAAGTTTTATTTATTTTTTATTTTTAAGTTATACTTGTCATAATCACTTTTCTTGTCAACCATCAAATGTGTGCAATGATTCGTGTAGGAGAACATCAAAGTTATATTTATTATATTATAGTTGCTGAATTGATTTTATGTTAATGTTATCATATGATATTCAAAGTTGTGGGATTAAATCCTATGCTGTATGAACTTATTCAATAAATTCATTAAACTATGGTTGATTTCCTTAGACCGTATTTGTGCATCAATTAATAATAATATTGACTCTTTTAAACAATTCATTAGAAACAGTGGTTAGATATTTTTACAAATAAAAAATAAAAAAACATTTCATTTAATTATTCAAATTAATTTTATGACGTATTAATTAAAAACATAATTCTATGATTTATCTTGTGATTATTTTTCAAATTATAATTATTAAAATGTATGATAAATTTAAAAATAAAAATACATTTATTAAACTATAAAAGAATGTACTAGACCAGATAAGATGAACCTATGACTTCTGTAAAAGACCTATCATCAATATAAACTAAATTTTATCATTGATTGTATTATAAAATTGTACTATTAAATGGTAGGATTTCCTTATCACATTCAATAAAAGCTGTTAATATTTGATTATTTTGAATTTTTACTAAAAATGCTTAAATTACATTAATAAAAGCTGATGAATGATATTATTTTTAAATAAACTGTTAATCTACATTATTACTTGATGAGTACTTATAAGTACTCACAAAAACATAAAATAAAAAAGTAAAACAACATTTTTTATAAAAATCAACTATTGTTGTTAATTAATATTTTAATATTTGTTTTTTTTTTTTTAAATAAATATTAGCAGTATAACAATAGTTTCAAATTATATATTATACTAGCTGAATTACCCGGCTCTGCCCATGTGTAGTTTTTGCTTTCTCAAAATTTTATTTAATTTTATCAAGTACTAAATAGTTGTTGTAGCTTAATATGGGTAATGTGGTGACACTCAGAAAGGTATTTTGAACAACACTACGAAAAAAAATTTGAAAAATGTTAAATAGTGTTGTCACCAAACGAGAACATAAAAAGGAGCTATTTTTTATATATAAAAGGATGTATTTATAGTATACAGAGCAATTCTTTTGTTGAACAATACTCATTATTTCAAAATTAATTAGTCTTTTTGAAAAAATGTATTTTTTAAGTTTTTACTTTTTTGAATAACAACATTTAATTTCAATTTTGTATTTTGATGTAGAATGTTTTTTTAGAAATCAAAATTTGGACAAGTAATTTATAAGTTATAAGTATTTAAAATTTAGATGAGTGGAATAGTAAAAGTTGGAATATCCAATAAAATGTTTGTTTACTATTCTGGTTGCTTAAATTTTAAATACTTAGGACTCTTAAACTACTTGTCTGAATTTCAATTTTTTAATAATAAAATACTTCAAAAAATATTCTGCATCAGAATATGAAATTAAAAATGTATATTGTCATTCAAAAATGAAATTAAACTTTAAAAAAATGTTGTTTTATTTTGACTGGAGTCTTGAAATTAGATTTTGAAATAATGAGTGTTGTTTGATAATACATCACAGTTATATTTATTATAATTTATAGTATTTTAACTTTGTTTTATGTGATTTATATTTATAATTTATAAATATAAATTATTCATCATTTATCACATTTTAACATTTCAATATTGGCTTTTAATAACGTTTTTGTATTCTTATGATTGATTGATTTGATCTTTTAATCGTACAGTTGCAGCTTGAACAGAAATTAACATTTTTACAGAGTCGTGACTAGGCGGACTAGTAACAGCATTGATTATTATATATAAATACATAATTAATGATAATAGCCCAATATCCTATCTACATTGAATAAAAATGATGTAAACAATGGTAACAATAACAGGAGAGAACATTTATACAAATATTATTGGTCTATTTTAGTTACATTTTGAAAAGATTAATTAAATTTTTATTAATCAATGTTTGATTAAATCTTCTTGGTAAAAATTCAAATGTTTTTAATATTAACTAAATACTATTAATAAATTCCTAGCATTTACTAGTAAAATCTGATTTTTAATAATTGATTGGACTTTCCCTGTAATAAATAATATATATGTTTGTTATTATTATTTTTATTTATTTTTATATAGCATGGTACATGTCCAATTTGTCGTAAATATTTAGCCGATGATGGGTTAAGTTCAATTAATTCAGATCCACTAGGAATCAGTTTAGGTGTTGGACCAAATTTAGCAGCACTCATTAGGTTTGATATATATATATATATAATTGTTTTATCTTTTTACATTTTTAATGAAAGTTTAAATGTAAAATACATTTAAATTTAAAATTTTAATATGGTTTTTAAATGATACTTTAAATCTAGTATAAATAACTATTTATATTGAATATTTTTACTTTTTATGCTTTTTAATTGTTTACAAATTTTAAAAAATACTGCATTTACTGGTTCATTGATTTAATTTCTTTTATATTTGTATTATTATAGAGCTCGTAGTAATCCACGTAATAATACTGATCCAGTTTGGGGAATGAATGATTATGATATGGCATCTACGTCATCTGATTGGCCTACACAACTTGGTATTAGTTTACCACTTCCAATTGTGTCATCATCATCAGCTACACAGACTCCAGCTGCAGCATCAGGTATGTCCACATATTCATCTGTCACGGCTAGAAACTTACGTGATCAACGGTTGTCAACTTCAACTGCTGATGTTGAACCTATGGAAACTGATCATGATCAAAATTTACCTGCAGTGAATAATACAAATAATTCCTAGTCTTTTCTAGTAAAAACAAGTATGATTTTAGTACAATATGAGTTTACTATTTAATACATAAAAATGGAAGAAATATATTCAATTAATAACAATTAATCAAATACTTTTTTTTTTTTTTAAATCATTAATACATTTTTTATAACATAATAACAATAATTAATGACGATTTATCATTTTACTAGTAATTGGCATTCAGTTATTTCAAAAGGTATTTTAAATATATACATAAATTCCTATGTATATGAATTTAAATATATTTTAATTGCACTATTTTAATTCACCCGAGTCTCAATTGTCATTAGTTATTAATCAAATAGTTTTAATATATATATTAGTTGACATTTTCTATCAACTGGTAAATTTCAATTTTACATATTAATTGTTAAAATTGTTATATCTTTTTTCATTATAAAACTTAATTTAAATTATGTTTACTTATCTACACTATACATTATATTATATGCTATTTGATATTATGAAACTAAAATTCATAATTTAAAAAAATAATTTAATTTATATTTTATGCTTTTAATACTATAATGGGTTAAAATTTAAGTAAATAAAATAAAATGTGTACAAAATGTCATCTCCAATGTAGATTTAGTTAAATTTAATATTATAATTTTTGTGTTTTATGTGTATTAAACAAAAAATAATGAATATATGTGTATTAGAGACAACATTTGCTGTAATTATTTTGTCGTGTTGTTAATTTTTTTTAACTCCACATTTATAATTTTTACTATTCATTATTTTTTATTAAAACCATAATGGTTTTTTATAAAAATTATATTACACGATTGATTATTTATTTTATATTTATTAGTGAAAGCATATGTGTATAGTCATATTTGGTTGAATTATTGTTTATTATTTTTATAAACCATTTTATGATATCCTATAATGTATTTGAATTCTTTCGCTTGCATATAAATAGAAAATAAATGATTGTAAATAAAAATATTTCAAAACTAATCTGTATTGTTGGAGTTCTAAATTTAATTAAATCATACTGTATTATGTTATGAACTAAGTTAATAATATATTAGAGTATTTAGTAACTTTTACTAGATCATCTATTTAGAGGATAATAATATTAAAATGATGATACATATTAAAACTTTAAACTATAACAATGTAAACTGTAACATTAATAAATTGAGAACTCTGGATGATACTGTTATTAAAAACTACCATAACTTTAAATTGATTTTTATCATTGCTAATTATTAATTAAATTAATATTTACTATTTTTACCATCACATTATATTATGTAACAATGTGTTTCATATTATTTAACTCTCAATCACATTACAACTTTTTAAGGGATAGTGTAACATTCAAAATTCACATAATAATCTACAAGGGATATAAATATATATTCAGTAATCAGTGTTATTAAAAACTATTTGAGTGGTATTTAAAATACTCAAATGATATGTTTATTACATATTTAAGTAGTATTCCTTAAAAAGTATGGCTAATATGTGTTGAGTGCTGCTTCTCGAAAATATCATTATTATAATTATTATTTTAACAACTGTCTTGTACCTAGCTTGCATTATGTTAAGATTTACAATAATGCCAGAAAACAATTTTCAACCGTGTCTGATTATAAGAAATGAAAGCTGACAACAAGTTGATAAAAACTGATTTAATTGATGTGTGTGATCTAATCAAACTGGAAGAAAATCAATAATTGTCTGAGGTTATTCTTATAAGAGTCAGAGTGGTGTTGTAAATTATTATATAAACACAGATACACTGTTTTTTTATAATATATTTTCAAATTTAAATATCAGTAAAGTTTTGATTAATGGTTTTAATGACTAAATTTAATTAGACAACTATAATTATTCATCATAGTACTATATGAAAACTTGTTAATTGTTATTTATCAACCAATAATATCTAGTATTTATTAACTAACTAAATTAATATATAAAAATTTAAAATAATTATCAATAATATATTTTATTAATGAAAATGTCATTATTTAAGGTGAATTTAAATTACTATGAACCATTTAATCACATAAATTGTATCATACATATAAATGTTACATTTATTCAAAATGATAAAATTTTGTAGTGATCGTACATTTTTACAACAAATCTAAATATTTAGTATCTAGTTATTGTCGGTATTGAAACTTGAAAGACTGAAACAGAATTAATTGAAGGAATATATTCAATATGAATAATATATACCCAAATTTTATCTTAAATATAGTATATACACATTATTTTCGCATGAAATACAGTTTTATAGAATATCACTTGAAATTTATTTACTTATAAACCATAGATTAAACTAATAAACTGGTTATTTTATAATAAAATAACACTAGTTGATTATATTTTTATTTCTATTTATTAATTTGTTTACCTATTTTAGTTTTGTAAAGATATTATATTATCATTAGGTATAAAATTAATAAATTATTTAAATTAATCTTCTTTAGGTCTTTCAGTCTTTCAACTGATTTTACTCTTGTACTACTTTAAACCATTAATTTCTGTCTTCTATACTTTTTTAAGTATTCCTAAAATATATGTCTAAGTCATTGGTAATATTGGATTAGTTACTTTTCAAAAAGTAAATAAGTTACTAGATTAGTAAATAATTTTCATGCAACCTAATACAAAGGTAATATTTTTACATAACTTTTTTTCTCAAAAGTAACTATAATAGCATTAGTTTTTAAGTTTTCAAGTTTGTAAAATTGAAAACTACATTTTTCTTTATATAATATTGTATATCTATAAATTTTTCACTTTTTATTATTGTTACTTTTTTTTTTATATTAAATATTAACTTACATTGAAGTTACATCGTTAAGATAAAGCTCAATCGTTATCATCTTTGAATTGTTAGAAAATAAGTCAAATAACCATAGACGTGAATTAGATGACAAGTGTATGACAGACCAATTACAACAAGAATACCGTAATTTCAGATATTAGCTATTGCTTATTTGATATATTCTATGAAAGTCAACTATCAAACTAATGACAATTAAATCAATTATGATTTAAATTACAATACAAATAACGATTAGATACTTAAATGCAAATTTGAATCATCCACTCAAGATCAACAAGACTTAATCTTATTAACTAATAAAGTTCAATAGCATTAATATAAAATTTTGATGTGGTAACTGAAATGATCTACTAAATACTTTTGAAAGATATTAAATATTGTTCCCTAATCACTGCTACTCTCTAGATCATTTTAAATTTTGATAAAAGGCTCTCTAAATTATATAACAAAGCACTACATTTTATTTCTTGTTGTTTCATTCACACACTTTATAGATAATTGGATAAAGAATAAAATAATTTTAAGTGTATGTTTAATAAAAAAAAAAGTACCAAATTTAAATAATAACCCATCATCAATATCATAATTTCATATTTAAATTTTTATTGTGATAAATAATATAAAATTCAAATTTAAAACTAATAGGGTATTAATTTTTCTTAAAAACTAATCTGATTTTAAAAAAATTCAATACAAAATAGCTATTAAACAGTAAACTGTAATGATGATATTAATAGGTGTCTACTATTTATAATGCATACACTTGTATATAATCATAAAGAAGCATTATTTAACAACTAAATATATTTGATTACCTAAACAATTTATTTAATATTAGATAGGAATCTCAAATTTAAAATATTCAACAAAATCAAGAAACAATTTTTCTTTTTTTATACAATTATAAGTTAAAAAATATAAAACATTTATTTTTATGACATTAACAATTTGCTATTTGATATTTGTATAGATAGGTACTTTGTCATAGAAGAGTTATCTAAAATACTAACATAAGCAAATATTTAAACATCTCTTAACTGTATCTTTTACTCTATACATGAATGAGTAGAGTCTAATTAGTCTATGACATTATCTTTTAATGTTATACAGGTAAAAAATAGATTAAGATTATTACAATAATTATATTCAATATAAAATATATTTACGGTCATAAACTCATAAAATATAAATTAAACGCTATCACCAGCTATTGTGAATAAAAAAAATGTCAATATTCTATAGATTAATTTTTTTTTAAACCGTTAATACGAGTATATAAATTATTAAATCTATAATTCATTCTATGAATAATTAAGCTTAATTATTTATATGGATTAGGTATTTTATTCAAAATTCTTTATTTTGTTTAGTAGTTTGCATCATATATTTAATTAGAATATTATATACCAACTATATGTAATTTGATTCAATAGCAAAGTTGATTTTAATTTAATAGGTAATTAATCCGATAGTTAAATAGCATACATTAGTAATTGAGTAAATTGGTTCTATGAATCTAATGGTTTGATATTTTTTATGAAAATAGATGAATGATCATTAATGTTCTAAAAGTAAATTAAACTCAACTAATAATATAAGTACTAATAAATACTATTAGTATATCAGCTATTATTTCTGGACCCTAAAATTGACAAAGAGTTAGTAAATCTTGATATGCAGATAATTTAATGTGCAGTGAATTGTTTTGTGTGAGAATTGCCCAATTTTCTAGATTTTGTGTGGAACAGAATTTAATTATTTACTTTAAACTATTTGTTGAGCATATCCAGGAACTGAATTTGGCTCAGTAAACCCTAATGACGGAAGAGGATTTGTTGGAATTTGTTCGCTTGAAATATAACTTTGGTTTAACGATTGAAAAGAATAATTAAATTTATGAGCATTGGTATCTATTGTCAATGGTGTATTACCCAATTTTATATCAACAGAAATTACTTCATTTATATATCCGCCATTAACGCAAGCCTCGACCTACAACAACAAAATCCAATTAAATTCAATTATTTGCCTATTGCATGACATAATGTTGTGTGATGTAATTACATTTAGAGAATATATATCAGTTATAATACCACAATGTTTTAAATTTGGTATTGTCAAACTATGTGGAATTTTAATTTTTTCCACACGGGTTTTTGAAGTATGTTTTTCAACACCATCTATACATATATTAACAATCTTAAATGGTTTAGACTTTATTTTACTACTCGGAAACCGTGCTTTAAATTTCAATATCTATAATAATAGAACACAATATTATTAAAATCAATGCATATTATCTTATCTGTTATATGATGAGATAATTATTACTCTTTCCAGATTTATTTTAATAGAATCTACATCCACATTGCTGTTGTTGTCCAGTTCAACTGTAACCGGTATATTTTGTCCAGGAACAAAACCAGTATAAGGTACATAGACAATCATTGTCATTGGTCCAGACTTACAACAAAAACAACAGTAAAACTTCTTTCTTTCTAGTATTTTAGGTTCCTGAAAGCATAATTTTAATAATTGCACTAATAAGACATATTATCGACCAGTTTAGGTCTGTATTATTTATGATATTATCTTCTTATTTGGTTTAATATGGCATTAAAATCGGTTTTGCTGTGGTATTTCATAACTTTTATGAACTTATGTTAATTGGTAAGATTATATTTAATAAACATAATATGTGTTTATTGTATACTTGTATGTATACAACAGTGACTAATGAGCAAGGCATACAATTTTATATTTACAAGTATTTAAATGTACAATACAAAATCTTATTGTGTATGGTATTGTTATGTTTATAAAAACTATATATATTTTATCTAAATAATAAATCAATAAATACAGAAATACATTTGATAACATGTATATGGGTAATGTCTTATACTTTTATATTATGCTTATGTACTGTATATTTTAAAAAGAAGAAACTGACTGATATAATATTAACACAGGGGTCTCCAAACTACATTCGGCCAGTGAACAAGTTTTCACCGACCCGTCAAATGACGGCAAATAATCTAAAAATTTGTTCTTTTTTTTTTTAATAAAAATATGTTTAGTTTCCAAAGTCGATATCGCACGCACGTACAATTATCAGCTGTATCGACTATACCATAATTTATGAGCTGTAGTTTATAAATTATATGTGTTATTGTGTTCATACATTCTGGCCCACTGAGAGCTTTTTTTTATTTTATGTGGCCCTCGGATAAAAAAGTTTGGAGACCCCTGTATTAACACATAGTCCAACCACCACTGGATCTATAAATTTGAAATTGTTCTCAGCAAAAGAGATTTTTTGTACGTGTAAGCAAACTCTAGAAAGAATATTTTTGGAAAATCAAATTTGAGGATTTTAAATAGTTTTTAAAACTAATGTTTTTTTTCACCTGTTAACTTTAACTTATATGTTAGTTGAGCAGTATTTTTAAAAATTTATCAAGCAAACTACACACTGATTAAATTTTAAGCATATATGCCTATTTAGCTATATTGACTATGATAAAAATAGTATTATTTATATATATATCTGTGGGTATAGGACATAGGTGGTACAACTAATTGCCAACACCTAATAACAGTAATAACCATTATACATTATCTATCACAGAAATTCAACCATCGGTGGCTGATGAGTGATCCAATATCTTATCTTATTTTTATTTAAAAAAATCAAAATTAAGTTCCAAGTTAAAGTTTTAAGCTCTATGAAAAAATTTAAATTCCAGAAATTGTTTTTAATTTCTATTAGACATAGCTAACTAAACTTGTTTCAATATAACAGTTATTACGCTAAATCTTCAAAAATATAAAATTAAACATGTCTTAACTTATACTTACAGCTAAGGATGGTTCATCATTCAAATTTAAGGCAGAAATAACTTCAAATAGAATTTCTTTACCTTTTTTAATATCCCAAGGTATATTAATTACTACTTTGGCTGTATATTGTATACGTCCATATTCTTCTTCAAATGTTGATGGTAAGTGATCTGGTAAGGAAACACTAAATGGATAAACATGTTCTCCTTCTTTTAAATGTAATTTTCCTAAAACATATACAACATTTTTGTTAATTAGAAAAATCTTAAATCTGTAATTTGCATTTTATTTTAGTTACCCTTTATTATTAACTTGTTATAAAAAAATTAATATTTTATAGCCATTATTTATATAAAATCAAAAAAAATATTGAAAAATATCATAGGTAGTTATTGATACTATTTAACCTTTTATTACAACATTAAAATAAATTGTTCAAACAGTTTATTTGTCCAATAGATTACTGAACAATTTTTAAACCAAAGGAAAACTACAATTTAGCCACCTATGTATCCACAGTTTTTAATCTACATTTTTTTTTTTTTTTTACCTTATAGTATAAATATTAAAAACATTTTATCACACTTAATCCATTACCTGATATCCTTCTATTCATTCACCCATTTTGGTCTTGAGGCAATTGCCTTAAAATAGCTAACTTTGACATACCGTTAAATCTGTCTATACAATATGTATGCTACTTTTTAGTTATTTAAATATTTAATAATACTGAAATATATTAAAATAATTACTCACGGTCCCCACCCGCTAGTATTATTTTATGTTTAAAATATTCTTCTTTTGCAGTATATCTTTCAGTTTTAGCCTTGTTAGGTGTAAGGCTATGCCTTCTATTTCCATTTCTACTATTTTTTTTAGACATAAGATTATGTTCTCTCCATAACACATTTCCTTCTCCTTTAAATTTTAATTTTACTTCTGAAACATAATGTAACTTTTATTTTATAAACTTAATATAATAAAGATTTATTTTACCTACTTTTTATTTTAATGAAATTGCTAACAATAATTAAAACTCGACCAGTAATTATTTCACCAGGGGAAAAAACTGCTGTTGGATTATCAAATATAATATGTACATTGTTCAAATCCATAATATTAAATATAATAAAAACTATGTTATGCTGAATTTTAAAACTGAATGAACTAATTTTCTTTATCATTATTAATTTTTTTATGCTTTTATACTGAATAGTTGTTGACAATTGAATGAGGTAACAAAGTTTATTAATTTATAATAGTTTAACGTTAGGATTAGTAATTTTTAAGGAAGTAAGACCAATTCAGAGAATTGTATATATATATATATTTATTTATTTGTTATGCACTTCATATTAGGCTTTAGATAAGAATATATTTTTTACTAATTTACAGAAGATGAAACATTTAGTAGTACAATGTTTACCATAAAACTTTATTCTTAAATAGTAAGTAAAGTAATATACTAATATGTACTATAGAAATGTTTTCCACCTATTAGTATAGTAAAATATTTTTGATTTAAAATTTTCTAATCATTAACTAATAACAAGAAGAAAAATTTAATTTAAATTTAAAAATAATCTTTATATTTATCACCATTAAGTAATATTTTATTTTTTCATTTTGTTAAAATTAAATGATAAAATTACTTATAATAAAAATGATTATTAATTTTACTTTATTATACCTAATAAAGAGCTAGTTGTCATTATAAAACAATTGGTAAACACTACCTATTTATAAAATGATTATGGTTAAACAAAAAAAAAAAAAATAATAATAATAATTATACAAATTTATTTATAAATTACAATTTATTAAATATTACATCAATTACCTACTTGGTTATTTAATATTTAATTTAATGGATGGAATTACAGCATTAACTTTAAGTACTTAAGTAATTAAAAGCAATTTAAATACATATTATATGAATTTATTACCTCTTGTATTACCTAATATACATAATAAATCATTATGTTTCATTTAGTACCATACCACATTAGTTATCTAATTCATCAAATAGGTAGTATTTTAAGATTTATCATGAAATATTTAAAATTCTTGCAATTTTAATATTTTATATTGTCTTTACTGTTTTAATTTTTATATTTACTAGTGAACTCATGGTTAATACTTAATTTTGTGATAACCCATAATTTCAATTTTGTAAATTATACATTCATACATATAAATATTAAATTAATTGTTTATATTTATGAGCATTTGAAGTTGAGTTAACAAAAGTGAAATAGTAAGGAGTACTAGGATTATTGTTGCTATGATTTGCAATGCCCTGGACATAATATGTTTTATTTAAAACAATTTTCTTGAAAAAAATCATTCTATTAAATTATGAATATATATAATAACAGTGTTGAGTTATTTAATTATATATTAAAAACAGTAAAAAACCAATCTGTTCTATAAATATAATAATATTAGATGTGCTATAATACTACAAAAACAAAGTATTTTTATGCTGGAATATTATGGAGACATTTTGAATAAATATAGTATAAAATACCCAGACATTTGTTCTCATATTTTAAACATAATCAATTTTATTGTTAAGACAAAAATGCTGGCTCTACTTGTTAGGTCCTGATTATGAGTACCCCATACTGTTTTAGAAGCGTTATTCTGATTATTTAAAGTTTTTATGAACAGTCATATTTATGTTATATATTCTAACGATCATTTCTTTAGTTATCCAAAATTAAATAATATACTTAAAAATAAATAAATTATATTTTAACTATTTTTATAGTGTGATTGTGGCAATGTGGTTAGGTATAAGCTTTTATCAATATCTTAATTTTAAACCGAGTTATGATTATATAAAAGATTACGACTTTAAACGTATCAATAAAAACCTTCAAGTTATCCAAGATAATGTAAGATAAATTAATAATAGATCAATTCACTCTAATGCTGAAATTAAAACCACAAAATTTGATCCACTGAATTAAGTTGATAATGCAGAATATAAGATAAGTATATTGTTATAATGGTATATTAATTTTTATTAAAAACAGTAATTTATAATCTAAACTCTAAATTATACACTTATTTTATATAACAACATTTTAGATTGACTCTTGGACATCTATGTATTAACTTTTCACAAAAATATTATAATTTACAAATATCTTATTATTTTTTAGTTAGTTTATTTTTCCGAATTCAGTTAATTTTATCATATAATGAATTTGGTTTAAATTTAAAATTCCATCAATCTATGTACAACACTTTTACAACACAATAACAATATTTTAATATACAAAAATTAGAAAAAACAATTACAATTAAGTATATAACTTATAATATAACAAATTAATAATGATTTTTAAGAGCTATAAATATTAAAATATATAACTAGATAGTATAAAAAAGTGAAGCTATGTAAGTGTATTGATTAATACTGCTAATAAATGTCTTTGTTCTGATGTTAAATGTGGAGTAAAATCAGATTCAATTGTATCTAAACAGGTGGTTTCACCAAGTTGATATGCTTTTACCAAAGAACGAAGAAGGCGGAACATTACATCTGATATATAAGGAACTAAAATAATGAGAAAAATAAACATTGTGTTAAAAGTATAAAACTGTATAATGAAAAAATAAATATAAAAATTACCTGGTGAATCAAAATTTCCATTAATCCACATGTACTTTTCCAACACTGAAGCTAAATCACTTGGCATTTTTTGGCGAGTAGGTTTCAGTATAAGTAGTAAAAACACTCGTGATACTTCACATCTATAATATAAAGAAAGAAATTGGTCAAAATCTTAAATTTAAATTCAATGAAATATTTACCTGAATAAAATATCATTATAAATACCAATGGTGTCATTATCTATGCAAGAAATAGTATTTGCGATTTCTGTGAATGTTAATAGAGCGCCTTCATAATCTTCTACGAAAAATAACATTTGCATAAATTATGACATAATATTCTCAATTTTAAATAATAAAATATTCTATAAATAAATACAAATACCAGAAAGAATTTGAATGGACGTTATTTGTTCGAGAATAGCCAATTTAAGTGTATGACATTCATGTGGCACATCAATCAAACTACTTCCAATAAAAGCTGCATCATCTAATTTACCTAAAGAAACAAGAGTTTCAGCAGTTTCTAAACGAATCGATGTTTTCAAAATATTTTCAAATGAGTTCCCTTGCCAACTATCCTCTGCATGTCTCATTTCACTTAGCCCAGCCTAAAGTATTAAAAATATTATAAATAACTTAATAATCAATTAGATACAAATTCATGTATAAATATCTAACTTGTAAATTTTCATTATAAGGAGATATTAAACCAGATGACTCAGTTTTCTTAAATTCAGAAAAAAACTGACGGGCTGCTTTTTGATGAGCAACAGCTTGTTCACAGTTGTGATCCATCGACTCTTCACATTTAGCCACAGCTTGCCAACACAAAGCAGCATAATCATGTTTATCATTCTTTTGACAAAAATTTGCTAGTTTGGCTAAAATATAAAACAGAATAATATCAAAACTTTATTTTAATAATAAGTGTAAGTAACCTTACCAAATTGGTCACTAGGTTCCAATGTATTTAGTTTTCTAAAAAGCTTTCTAAAAAAATAATGATATAACTATTTAAAGAACCAAAATGACCATATAACATATTATAAATAAAAATCATGGTATATTACTTTTTTGTTTTATTTAGTATTATTTTATAATGGTAAATAATTTCTTCGGAATTGTTGAAACCAGCCATTTTAGAATATTATAATTATTTAAATAATATATAAATAGATATATATGATTGAACTATCAATGATAATTAACTATTTAATATTTGTCATGCAAATATAAAAATTTTAAATATAATACATGGACACATATTCCTTATTATTTTACTTTATTAATTTAATAATTTATTTTATTATGCTACAGATACAGACTATCAATTAGATAAAAAATAAACCTGATAAAATGTTATCATTTGTTTATCAAATTTGTTTATTTTTATTATCTTATCTGTGGTTCAGACTCATAAAGTCAATTATATCAAATAATACAGACCATAGAGTAAAGATATATATTATATTATATTTATGCGTTAGACCGTTAGTTGTTATTTTGTTAATCACAATTCACAGTCCACAGTCCACCACACTCGGCACACTCCACAGACCACAAATAAAATATTATTATAAAAAAAGTAATAGTATCTATTTTTTTATAGATATTAATTATTATTATATTATATATTTATATGTCAATGGCTATTGGCTATATTATGTACTTTACATAAATAGTAAATATTAAATAAAATTAATGTCACAAATGGGTAACAAAAACGTGTCTGAAAATATTGACCTTAATTTTATGTTTCAAATGAATGTCAAATTATGAAATAATTTATTTCATGTTGAAAAGTTTGAATAGTAAAATATTAACTGATTATTAAAACTAACGATTATCTATAGTTGTGATAGTAGCTAACAAGGCTAATGGCAGTGTTCCAATAACTTTCTAAATAGTTATATATTATATACTTTACAAGTAATTGGAACATATTATGAATATATAATATATTATAATCATTAATCTATTCTGCGGTGCAATTAAATGAAACAAAGATAATGTATCATTAATGGGTACTCTTGTTATTCATAATTCTTATAATCAGGCTAATCATATTATTACATTATAGCAAATACTAAATAGGTCATTTTCTTTTAAAGTTGAAAACATATTTGTTTAGTGTTAAATATAATTTCAGTTCTTACCTGACTTAACATAGAAAACTAACTAATTTCAGCAATCTAAATACATTAATATGGCCGAAAAAGGAAAAATTGGAATCATTGGAAGGTAAAAGCAAAGCTAAGAATAGTATATTATTTAAGTTCATGATAATTAATAAATACCTAGGTACTTAATCAACTAATTATAATTTAACTATTCCTATTTATTTTATTCAACATTAATAATTATAAATCGTGAATATGTGATGTATGGCTAAAAAACAATTAAGTTTGGGAAAATACTGTAGGTATGTCAAATCTGCTACAACTTAAAAATTATTAATTTCATCAAATTTTATCCATTTAATTTTCAAAATGTTTAAATAACCAAGTTTCATGAAATAAATTTTATAAAATGTTCATTTAAATTTATTCATTATTTATTATAACTTAATTGTTCTTAATTGACAAATAAATATTAATGTAGGTATAATATAATAATGCATATTAAATATTAAAGTGTCTATTAAAAACCTTAAAATATATTGAATGATATACATTTTTATTTTTATATTATTATTAAGTAGGATGTATTATAGGAATATGTAAGAAATTATGATAACAATTAGTAGGTTTTATAAGAGGACATCATACTAAAAAAGATGTATTAAAATGAATTAGGTACATCCTTAACTTATTTTAAAAAGACATTTTTAATTTTCAGTGGTTTAATAGGTCAGAGTTGGGCTATGTTATTTGCAAGTGCTCATTACAATGTAATCATTTATGACATTAACTTAGAATTAGTGAAAACTGCCTATGAAAAAATTAAATCAGAATTAAAAACAATGGAAAAGAATGGAATTCTAAGAGGAAGTCTTACTGCAGAACAACAAATTGAACTTATTAAAGGTACTTGAAAATTATTTTGAATTAACATGTTAAGCTATATAGTTATTAGGGCTTGGAAATTATAGGAGTTACATATTGTTTTGTATGCTCTCAGTTTATAGCAGAACAAACTAGAAATCTGAACTGTACAATGGACAGTTAAAAAATTGAAAATTCATATTTTACATATTTTGTCAATTTTAGTTAAAAAGGTACATATTTCATTGATTTTATACACATGTTATGCATATTATATAATTTTCTAAAAAAAATGACGTTTTTCTTCCTAACTTGAATATTTTAATTGATATTGAATATAAAACTCAAATTTATCAATGATAGTATTTATCGTAATTAAAAAAAAATTTTTTAATTATTTTAATTATTTTAATATGTCAAAATGCCAACCAGTTATAATTTTTTTCCCAGTTATATACAATTTGTATGTATATTATTATTTTATTAAGTTATTAACAACATCTGATGTAATTTTTTTTTTTGAATTTAGAGAAAATTTTTGCATATCTAATATCATTTTTAATGCATATTTTGTAATTTTTTCATGCATATTTGCATATATATTTTGCTTTTTTAGCTCCTACAACTTCCAAGCCTCAGTTATTATAATTTGTACCAATTTTCAAATACACAAATAATTTATAAACACACAAAAAAAATAATAATATTATAGTGATATGTAAATATCAATTTTTATTTGAAAATTTTTAGTAAAATTAAAATTAAGTAATCATTTTAAATAATGATAATTATGTTATTCATAAACAAATATTTAAATGTATTAATTTAAACTCCTTCCCTGCGCATTGAAATATTTCAGAATTCACAACTTTTATTTTTATCAAACAGGTGTAACTAAATTAGAAGAAGTTGTAGAAGACACAATACTTATTCAAGAATGTATACCAGAAGTATTATCTTTAAAACAACAATTGTATGACCAAATTGATAAAATTATTGGTCCTCAAACTATTATTTCTAGTTCTACTTCTACATTCTTGCCATCGGTTCTTTCTGAAAAAATGGAACATCGCAATCAATTAATTGTTTCACATCCAGTATGCAAAATCTATGTTATTTATTATAAACAAGGTTAATTAATATTGTATATTATTAAAGGTTAACCCACCATATTTTGTGCCATTAGTAGAAATTGTACCATCTGAATGGACTGAAGAGTGGGTAATTAAGAAAACAAGGGCAATTATGGAAGATATAAAACAATCTCCTGTAACTCTTGCTAAAGAAGTACCAGGATTTGCGTTAAACCGCATTCAGTTAAGAACATAAATTAATAATTAACAAAAAAAAATTATTGAAATTATAATTTTATAATTAAATAGGTATGCTATATTAAACGAATGTTGGCATCTTGTAAATGATGGAGTACTTAATGTAAAAGATGTTGATACAGTCATGTCTGAAGGCTTAGGTATGCGTTATGCATTTCTTGGTCCGTTAGAAACTGCTCATTTGAATGCTGAAGGTATGTCATTTTTTAATTTTATCATTAAGTAATCTATATTGTATATTAATGATAAATCTATAGATTATAGTTTATAATAATATATTAAATTATGTGATGTAAGAACCCACTACTTATAAATTGGCCACTTATATATTGTCTTAATGTAATTGTGGACATTTATAATGTATTGATTTCAGTGTTTTAGTTTCGAATGTTAGTTATACATAACAAAAACTGTAAATTTTATTTCAATTTACTTTTTTATACAGTTCATTTTGGCAGTTTTTATAATTTTTGTTTATTATTCATTTTAGGATTTGTAAACTATACAGAGCGTTATTCAAACTCTATGTATGGTGTATGTCAACAATTCAAGCCATCGCCTAAATTTGAAGGGCCATTGGTAAAAGTGATTGGAGATCAATTAAATACCAATACTCCGCTGGAAGACCTCCCAAAACGTAGATTATGGAGAGATCAATCTTTGATAAAATTGTCACAACTTAAAAAATACAATAATTATTAAAATATAGAATATTATTTGTTGGATTTTTTATTAACAATTTAGTATAGGTATTAGGTGTATTCTTAAAAAGAAACATAATATTATGTAGGTTATTAAAAAACCATTACTTATCCATTAATAAATATAAAATTAATAGAAATAATTATTTACGTATTATATTAATTTGTTTATTTGTCGCTTTACAATGAGTTGAGTAAGTTGTATTATTTTATAATTAATTTAAAAAAATTTCACTTATGACATCTCACTTAAGTTTTCAAAAGAATCATTCAAAATTGCATAGAACTTTTTACAATTGTACATACACTGTTAAAAAATACAATAAATACAACATGCATAAATCAAAACTTAAACTTACTTTTAATAAAACAGCTTTTAAATTAAAATAAAAACACTATAAACAAAAGTTGTTTAAAAAATAAATGTGAATTTGTTGGTGATAAATATGGTTATCTTGTAAACTTTAACAAAAAAAATAAATCAAGAATCAACTGGGAAGTGGCAAAACGATTCGTGTATGGTTCTTTATTACTGCAGTTTTCCGGAAATGATTTTAAAATTTTTTTTTGGGTATTGTTTTAGACCAAAATATTGAACTTTTAAAGCAAGGAACTTTAATCGTGGAATTATTAGAAGACGTAAAATCTTTATTTAATACATCTTTCACCTTCACCGTGGTAGAAAGCGAAGTATTTTTTGAACCATTATAAATGCTCAATGGAAGTTTTAAAAAATATTAACAGTTATAATTTTCCAATTAAAAATATATTATCTCAGCTTCTAATAAAATAGACTGTCCATATTACATTAACTTGTTACCTCATATACTATAAAATTGATAAATTAGTCGAATTTCAAATAGGTACTCAGCAAATATTATTGGCCTACTATAAAGAACAGTTTGAACTCGACGAAATGTAGTATGAAGCATTTAGAGCAGCATTGACACAAAAATTTACAATTTTATTATACAAGGGCCACCTGGTACTAGAAAAACGTTTATTGGATTGAAAATAATTAAAACAATTTTATTATACGTAATATTTATAAACGACCATTTCTCAAAAAACCAATTTTAGTAGTTTGTTACACAAATCATGCTTTAGACCAATTTATGGAAGGTATATTAGGTTTCACAAACAAAGTTATTAGAATTGAAGGTCAAT